TGCGACCTCGTTATTACATAGTAGCTGGGGTCGGATCTCTTATCTAGCTTGTGTGTGTGTGTGTGTGTGTGTGTGTGAGACTCTTCCCCCTAAACTGATCCCCAGAATAACAACACTATGAGTTAAACTAGGTTAAGACTGGTCCCACGTTTTCAGGTTTGCTGAATGGAGATGTAAACTTGGGTCTCCTTGGTCAAAGTCTTAACTCCTTAAACCCTATTCTACAAGCCTTCCCAGTTAATACGAAAGCCAAAATGACTTGAAAAAGAAAAAAAGTGATAAAAATACAACTGAAGAACCTGGTCGTTTGATGCTTTTTTAACCTGAGTAATTTAAGGAAATTTAAGAAGATATGCCAAATGAGGTCAGATGGTATATGTTAAACACTTCCTTGGCCCAGTCCCATAGAGAACAAAGAGTCAGGGTCCAACTTAAGGAAAAGAATTGATGTATGTAAGAGGATTGAAGAGTTCCTCAGGTTCCCGCCTTCCTGTGCCTTAATGCCCTGCCATCACTGTCCCCGGACCTTTGCTCTTAGCTTGATTCACTGGAGCCCAGTGGTGGGAAAAGTTCTATGTGGAAAAAAGGGAACCCTCCAGCTGTGCACCAAGACTCCTGACTGAGCAGGAGGTTGGACTGCAAGGCCAAAACGGGCACTCTCGTGTTTAGGTTAGTGAATACTTGCTTTCTTCATCTTCTTCATCTGTCCTGCTTAAAGTATCCTGGGAGGCCTGCTGAGAAGGCTCGCTATCCTGTTCCCAGACGGTTCCAGTGCCGGTATTGGAGCGGGACATTGTGGCAAGGCTCAGTCGATAGGCAGAGGTGGAGGTTCCCACAGTGCTGATGGAGGTCTTTCCTTGGTAAGCTAGAACAAGGGTTCGGGGTGAGGGAATGACAGTTATGCTAGTGGAAAAGAATAATGTTATTAAGAAGCCATTCTATGTAAGCTCATAGCTTTTACCAAGGAAGGCCATGTGATTCTGGGCCATCAGCATGTGAAGGATTAACAGTGTGGATAAAGAAAGGAGGAGCTTTCCTCTGAGATGTACTTAGTTTAATTCCATGTTCCTATGAAATAGCAAGAAACATCTCACCATTCTTAAAAATGCCTCATCAGAAATTATAAGCACAGGTAACCATCACACAATGTTTTTCTCCCGGTGTCATAAACTCTAATCTACAGTAAATGACCCTTGAATCACCACCATCATCCAAGTTTACAACTGCTTGTAAACTTGAATGAGGATTCCCACATCATTTATCAAAGTTAAGATTTCTCAGCCTGAATTTTATTCAATTCTATAATTTCCATTCTATCATACGAGTTTGATGAGAAGAGGAAACACTTGGGTTTTTGACATATTCTTGTTCTGTTTGCTTCATCTTCAACCTGCCTTTTCCCACAGTGTCCTCACCTGATCCACTATGCACAGCCTCCTTGAGGATCTTCAGTTCATTATTGAATTCTGCAATGAGAGAGCTCTTACAGAGAGGGCGGGGGATGAAGCGCCGCTCCAGCTGGTCAGCAATGTGTTGTCGGGCAGTCAGTTCCTCATGATTCTCAGCTGGTTGGGCTAGCAACTGAGGATGACAATGGTAGGGGACAGCCATGAAGACTGAAAAAATCATACATGCTATTAATACAGAACAACTATTCTTAGCCATTTTCATGGGGCCAGACCTTTACAAACCCACAGCGAATCAGGCATACTAATTTGCAAACCAATACTTTTGAAATAGAATTTTTGAATTTGAGGTGTATTGCTCCTACTTACAAGAGCACCTTACCATAAAGGACTGTCTTGTCCCTACCAGAGCAATAGTAAATCCTGTTTGCAGTGTCATTTCAGAAAGAAAATATGACTAATATTAATAGTGGATTACCTTGCATTGAATGAAGGGGCGAAGAAGCACAAAAATAGGAATTCTAGTGCGAACAATAAAATCCAGGAAATCCCATAGGGCCAGCCCTCCAACTTTTCGCAAAGCCATCTCTTTGACTTGCAGACTCAGCCAATACCATTGGCTACCAAGCTGCCGCTCAAAACAAACAAGGATCACCTTCAAAGCTAAAAAATGAGACAAATGAGTCAGAAAAATTAAAGAACAGCACAGTGATAACAACCCATGCATACCTGCACATTCAAGATTTGGAATCAACTTTTCTGAGAGGAAAATATTATTGCAATCCTATAAGATCGATCCCAAATTTCATTGCCAGATGGAAATTCTCACTCACCCAGGTAGGCTGCTTGACTAGTGGATTCAGCTAGCCCTTCCTTACGCAGGTCCTTCCCTGCATCTCCTGGAGTGGAGCAGTGGGCAGGAGAGCTCTCCAACATGAAGTTCTTACTGCGTGAAGTGCTAATAATGCGAGGTGGCAGTAAAATGTTAATGACTGTCTGGAGCAGCAGGAGAACTTCAGGCTGCTCCAGCCAAGGGCTGTCTGCATGATATCAAAGGGAAAAGACAAAGAGCAGATCAGACTTTGATTCCCAGAAAAGATTCAACACCACATGATGAAACATGAACATTATGTAAATCACAATCAGTTTCCCTACCTTTACCTTCTGTAAGCAAAAGACAAAGTTATCCAAGAACAAATACAACAAGACAAGACAAAGAAATCATGCTCTTGGTGTACTTTCCCCACACGATATTATATCTGACTCTTAAGAATTGGGACTCATGCTGGACTTCACCATATCTTCTCTGGGCTTGCTAACCTAAGGCAAGTACATGGGCCCTTGAAAAGCTAAGGTCTAAGCTGTACCCTCCCATGCACACTTATGTGGCAGATCAGAGCCCAGCCAGAAGTGTGAATGAACCCTTTGGGTTGCGCTGCAGACACGGTCATGTTAAATAAGAGAGTTTAAACCATACAAGAAGAGTGGCCTATGTAGAAGCTGTGTGGTTTTCTTGTTTGTCCCCATTTTTTTCTTACACATAGGTGAATTTTTGCTTTGTCCGGCCTGCTCTGTCATTCTCCTGATTTCAAAAAGGGGAGCTCCTCTGTCAAAGATTTAATTCAGAAAACACAGCTGAAATGAGAGAAGGACACTACAACACACCAATTTTCTCATCCAAGTCCCCAACAAACCCTACTGAAACACACCAGTAAAAGAATGCTTGTATCAAAAGAAACATGAAGGATAACAAAGCACAAACATCGCTGGTTCAGAGAGGCAGGCAGGAGGGGGAAACAAAAGAATCTTTCTGTTAATCAGACCTTTGCTTCCTGATCCTACTGTGAGCACAAATGGAATCAGTAGATTTAAAAGCATTCCTTCCCTTCTCTCCTGATTGGTGAATGGGGAGATCACATGGCTTAAGGGAAAATCTTCTTTCAAAGCCTGTGCAGTGATAATAAAAAAGATTAAATATTAATTAATATTGGCAGATTAAAAGGGGGAAACTGGCTTTAAAAAATTGGATCCACAGACACTTGGTTTACCCAGTACACTACAGGAACATGTTGTGTCCACCTCTGGATGGGTTCACCACCTTAGATGAAGTCATTGAAAGAGGCAACTTCTAGCTTCAACATAATCAATCGATTAAACATTCAACGTTTTGAGCTCATTGACCTCTTTGTTTTACCCTAAATTATTTCCCAGCAGATAGTATACTGATAGTTATCTATGCCAATGCAAGCCAAAAAGTCTGAAATAAAAAAATCTAGAAAAAGTGCAAGGGAAAGCATTTTAGTCATTTTTAAAAATTCACTACGTCTCTCTGAAAATATACATTTGGAAGATGGTACCTATTGTTTTGGTTTGATCCTGATTCTGCCAACTGCCAAAGATGGAAACTGCAGCAGAAAACCTGCATCTCTACTGAAAAAATGTGATATTTTTTGCCTTCTCACCTTAACTTAGTATTAATGAAGAACTACCCCTCCCCCAAACGAAGCACAAAACTTGCATTTTCCAAAGTAGGAGCAATGCATTGTAGAATCCCAAGTTATCCACAGAATTTAGGCTATTAAAAAAGTATACTTGATAATGAATATTTTTAAAAACCATTAACATCAGCTGTATACTTTATATGGTCTCTTTATTCTTTTAACCAGATTTCATTTGACTCTGATATAAGTCCCAGATGATCTTCATCTATCTGACAGACAGAATCAATAATTAAGTAATTAAAAGGGTAAAAGAGAGAGAGAGAGAGATGAAAGGAAAGGAAAGCTGTCAATTAACTTCTGGAAATCTGGGATAGTAAACTGATAAGCAATATCTTCTAGAGTTAATAAATGTTTATGAGTGGGTATGCAACCTTGAAATTATATAGAATACTTCAAAGGGCAGAATGTAAAAATACCTGATCCTCAGATTCATATAAAGCACTTCCATGAAATTAGTTTTAGCCTTTCAAATTCACAACCTACAAAAGATTTATTGCTTCTGCACTTTCATAGCTCTTATTCTTCAGCTAAGTAGCAAGAATGAATAATGCTTGTCTACATTCCTGAGAAGTACAGCTGTCTCTCATGTCAGGCCTTTGGTTGGTTTCAGTCTGCATGATTCCAATGTGACTCACTGGATTTATGCTAAATTGACACCCACCGAAGACCTGGAGAGTTGCTAAATGCTGAGATACTGAACTTCAGCATATGTATGGGGAAGTATGAATTTTGCTTCACAGTTTTTGCCCAGCTTTCGCAGAAAACAAAAGAGCACCAGTGAACTGGTGCCTCAACCACATGAGAAGCACAGCCTGTCTAACAGGCAAGGCAGTCACACCTGAATCTGCAATGCTACAAGCCGGACAACAGCTGTGCTGAAGGGTAGAGGTGGCGAGAGATAAGGGCTGAGATGAAGAAGGGGTAATCCATCGGCCACACTGGAAGGTCCTACTACTCCCATCACCTGCAATACAAACACAGCACATCACCTTGACCAACTATTACAATTCCATCCATGCCATACCCTCCAATGTTAATGAGGTTCACGCTTCAGATAGCGCAAGACTGGGATGCTCAGGGCCCTCCACATGCCTTGCGGTAGCTGGGGTCAAGAAGGGAAAGGAGTGGTTCTAGCAGGAGATGGATGGGAAGGAAAAGGTGCTGCTACAGGGTTAGCAGAAGGATTGGACGGAAGGCACAAGGAAAATCAGCACAATTAAGAATGTACCCAGTACTAGCCCTGAATAACCAGCACTGTACTGGTAGATTAGGTGGGGTTGGAGGGTATGCCATGTAGTTACTGTACTCAATGGAAACATGTACTTGAAATCACAATGTACTAGTTGGCTTAAGTTGTTATCTCCTGATGTCAGGGTAATGTCCTGAGTCTGATCCAGACTGGGTTTAAAAAATATTCAGACTCCCTCGTGTGATTGTTCATACAATGTTCAGACTCTCCTCTTGTATAACAAACTTGCATGGGGGCAAGGGGAGGATTTCAATTTATATATTGTACATAAGATTTTAATAGAGAATTTATGCCAAGTATAGTTTCAGGCCATGACAAATGGTCCTCTCAAAACAAAAACAAAAACACACATACCCTAGTATCCAATGGTGTAATGGCTACTCAAAGTGATTGAAACTTGAGTTATCAACTATCTGCTTACTGTAAGTGTAGGCTTTTCTCAGGAATTTGGTAGTGGCCAAAACATATAATTTGTTATAAGTTTTTTAAAGTTTTTGGCTAGCACACAAGGGTGTGCATAGAAGGGGGATTCAAAAGGTCATGAAGGCAGCCACAAGCACACAATTGAAGCCCTGACCCTTCTTTACATGCATCGCATGCATATGTCAGGTAAGATCCGATGGGGCTTCAGTTCCATGATCACGGGCACCATCTTGACACAATTACAAGATCCTGGGCACTTTTTGACACCTCCCCACTTGAGACCTCAGCTAGCACAAGCATCTTGTTCCTGTAGATTTTAAATGCTGGATTATTCATATTGGTTGGAGGAGGACTGCAACTGTGCATTTCTTCCAGTCTGTTTTCCATCAGCTGCTTGTATCTTACAAGATCTAGTTATCTAGCTAGTAAAAGATCTACTAGATCTTAAAAAAGAAAGTAGTACTCTCTTCCATTTGAAGGAGTGAATATTCACTGACTAATTTCCTTTCTTTATTATTTATTAAGTTTGTATACTGCTCAACCCCCAACAACTCTGGGCAAAGAATAACAAGAAGTAACAGTATTACAAGGAATAAAACAATACAATAATAAACAAGAAAAAAGGAATAAAAGATGGCAAACTGGGCAGGGAAAAAAAAACAAACCCCACAACCTAAAAGGGGGCTTCAATCACACTCCCCAAAGGCTTGGGCAAAGAGCCAGGTCTTCAAACCACCAGCAGGGTGGGGGCCAATCGATCTCAGGGGGGGGACCTCATGCCGGGGGCAGGCACTTTGTGATAATTTTCAAGAGATTTAGAGCAGAGGTGCAAAACGTGCCTTATCAACATCTCCTTTTGCAGCCCTCAGAGTGGGCGGGGCTGGAAAAGCTGGCTTGATTTATTTGGCAGCTTGGGGAAATTAAGGGTCAAAATGGGAAACAACCCTTGCAGCCTTTTAACACATCACTTCATCCCTGAGATGCTACAACTTGGGGTCTTGGGACACTCAGTTCTTGAATTCAGCCCTTGGCATGCCCCACCAATCCCAGTATGGTCCTCCAGCTGATGGAAGTTGTATACTCTTGACTCAGAGCATGGTAAGGGTGTAAAGGCCCTGGTGTATCGGGCCAAGAGCCAGCATAATTCAGCATCTTGTTCTTCCTGTTTGGCTGACTCAGGCTGAATTCCCTGAATGTCCTACATTCTTCAGTCCTCCGAACTGCAATCAATGTCTTTTCAAACTATAGTACAGATAAGTGAAACTGCAAGCAAATTTACACCAGCACTGTATATAAGGAAATTATCCCAATTTATTAGCTTTCATTCCAACCTTATAAAAGCTCAATATTTTTATCTAATGATTTACTTGAGTTCCTACTTAAATGACATTTACCATTAGACTGGCTATCCTGGCTTGATTTTTTAATCAAAGTATCATGCCCGTAAAGGATTTACCTATTGTTGAATTGTCTTTGGGGTCAACTGTACACAGTGATTATAGCCGTTTAAACATGTCAGTAACACACCAGGTAAAATTGGTATTCCTTAATGCAATCCAGAAGCATCATAGTTTTAAGAATCAGAAGGATCTGAACATTGTATAAAGAAACCCCAAACTTTCTTTAAACTGTGTACGGACATTACAAATGGCAAAACAAATTTACTCTAGTAATTGAGTTAATCAGTAGTTGATGCCCTTTTGCAGAGCAATAAAAATAGTTTATTTTTACAAGGTGAGACTGAATAATGTCTCAAGAGTCCCACACCCCCTTCCAGCTCCTCTATCAGGTGTGTGCAGGTGTGTGCAGTATCCACCACCCCACTCTCCAACTTGCAGCCCTCAACTCTCAGCGCAACATGCAGAAGCGGATTTTCAGAGTGGTGCGTGGAAAGTAGCAAAAACCACTCATCGGACTATGGGTTTCTTTCTCATTCTCTCCCCATGCACCACTTTGAAAATGTCCTTCATTATTTCTAGTGTTATTTCAAGGAAGTTCTTTCTAGGAGTACTGAACAGGAAGTTTGTATTGTAGAAGGAAGCTTAGCAGATGTGCAGGAGATTGCCATTTTATCTACTCACCAGATTGACACAGACATTGATCAGTGACCTAAGATGAGGCAGGAAGGATATGATTGGCTGCCTCTGAAGTGTCAAACAAACCCCTTCAATCAAATTGCTGGCAGGTTCCCATTCAACCTGTCTCCTAGAACACAATGGTAGGTGGCATTAGATGGTTAGTCCACAAAAATGTGACGGAGAGATAGGAACACCAAGGAAAGTTCAAGATAAAGGAGATCTCAGATGGCAACAACCTGTTTCACAATGTAATCATTTTACCCAGATTATTCAGAAGGACAGTGGAATAAAAAACATTGTAAAATGCTCAGATTACCAACAAAATCGATGAGAAAGAAAAATGAGCATGGGCACATAACACTACTTTTATAAAGGTAAAACTAGCAAATGAAGCAAACTTCTAATGTCTAGGAGATAGCTGTTTACAAGCAGCCTTTCTGCACTAGAAAAAAATCTAAATATTCTGAGAAATTCAATTCTAGGTGTACATGTTAAACAGCAATATCACTGTTTACAATAAATCATTGAACTCTGAGGGACTCAGAACAGCCTTTTACATCTAGCCATAGCAGGTCATCCTTCATGCTTTGCTGAGTTACTTGCATGTTGCAAACACCCATGCTCCACAGACATCACAAACATGGCCCACTCTTGGTTCAGTGGTTGCATGTGGTCGTATAGTTGATGTTTGACTTCCATCTCTGTAGGTCACTCAAGAGAATACAGTGTGGTTGTTCATTAAATACTGACAGGCAATCTGCCTGATCGATCCATGGTTTATTTCTGCTTTATTCAAACTTTTTAAACATTAGACAGAGAATTTGCAAAGAAGCAATATATAAAAATTTATTAACAAGAATTGGTCTTAATAGGCATGATATAAATTCCAGCTTTACTTCCATTTGATTTCTAAAACACAAATCTAAATTCTTCTCTCTTTGGAAAAAATATTTATGAATTTTGCCTATCCAGAGGAAGATAACAGATATCCTCTGGAAATTTGAAATATATATTAAAATGCAGCAGATCCTTTACTACATGTGCACATGTTGCAGACAGACACTCAACAGGTTAGTTCAGACAAGAGTATGGGATTACCGCTGGATGCAAAATCATGAAGCGCTGTGCATATATCCAGTTGCATTCACCCTACAGGGTAGTTTTAGTATGGAAAGTAGAGTGAGAACACTGTATAAGTGTGATGCAAATTTTTTTTTCTTCATGGATTATCATGTGATGAATTCCCTAAGAGATTTCTGTAAACATTCTTAAATTTTAGAAATCAATGTGGTATTTGCAATATTCTACAAATAAATTAATACTCTAGCATTTGGTGACTGTCAAGACAATATTGCTGTTTCATATCCAGTGATAGGAAGAGAAGACATTATTACCCTTCCAGTTGCTTTTATATTGCAATTCTAGCCCTTGTTCACCTGTAGTCAAGTTCCTTCCTATATCAATATTTAAAAAGAAGTCAGGAGATTTGGAATACCAGAAATCTGTTTATTTCTTCCAGAATTCATTCATGTAGCTGCCATTCTCAGATCAAGGCAATTATGGGGAAAAACCAAAGATTTGCTAATGGACTTGGAAATATAGACAAATCTAAAATTCTCCAAGGATGAGCATGTAGATCTTTCATAGAAACATTAATTTGGAATTAGACCATGAAAAGCAATAGTGATCAGAAATTGCAAACAAGATTATCCTAGGCAATGTAGAGGGAACTCCGACTTCATATATATTCAAGTTTGTGTGTGCTGGAGAGAAGGAAGGAGTACTCAGCCCCTGATGCTCATTTTTAAGCCATGTTTTATGACTACCTGCACCAGACAATGTCTCTGTATCTCAGTCCTTTCCTATGACAAGAAATCACTACAGTTAGCAGATTTGCTGAATTGGCAATTCGAAATTGGGTTTGTCCTGCTAATGAGAAAGCGCTTTTCAAAAGTAGAGAAGGAATGAACCATTAAAAAATTTCCAAGGGTTGGAAAATTGATTGAGAATTAGATAGAGATAAAGTAGAATATACAACTATTTCTGTCAACCATTTCTTTTGACCTATGAAAAAGTTTTCAGGAAATAAAATGAGAAAAAGAACATTGGTTATTTCATTTCATAGGCAAAGATCGAAGAATGCATTCTCTGTATATTTGCTTACAAGCAATGATTAATTAAGAAACCTAAAGACAGAGTGTCAAACAGCATTCTAAGCCTTTAAAAATCTAAAAAAATATATGATGATGAACATTTCCATGGGCCTGGTTCCATTTCATCAAACCAACCTCAAAGGCTACCTTAAATTTTACATGGCCTGTTCCAAGTTATTTGTCATTCTAGTTTGTACCTGCTGTATATTTTTGTTCATCTCGGGAACTATCCAAAGAACTTGCCAGTGTTTTTGCAGAATCAAGTGATTAATCTGAGGCTTGAGTAAGCTAATATAGCTAAAACATGCTAGGAAACACTGCATTTGGGTCACACAATTCTTCTTGTGACTCTTCACAAAAGATTCATTTCTGCTACTGTTGTTTCCCAGTATGACCAAAGGCTCATAGGCTCATAGAAGAAAGATATTTTTAAATATTTGCTGTAAGAGTTCAGCGTAGTGAACACTGTCAATGAAACAACATACCCTTCCTTCAAGGCTTGCAATATCAGAAATGGACCCCCCCATAGGTTTCTGTCATACACACTTACCTCAAAGTAGGCATCTTGTGAATTTTATTGAACATACGATCCAGTCTTTTCAAGATGAGGATAAGGGCAGGCCTCACGGCCTCAGCAGTCCAGTCAGTGATGGGCAGCATTTCCATGATGTACCGCCGGAGCCCACGGCTCTCCATTGTCTGGGTGTCATAAGGTGCCAGCTTCAGAAGGGAATGTGCAATCTCTGCCAATCTAAAACCATTGCTCATTAAAAGGAAAACCTGGATTTTATACCGTGAGCTCTTTTGAGAAAGTGTTGACTATTGTGGCATGGAAAAACACACTCCCATTAAATAAAATGCTACATAGTCCAAGAAGATAATTGACCATCACACTTGTGATTCTCGCTACCTGTTGCAGGCAGCCTTTTGACTCTGATGCACTCTAGAGATGTGGCAACCAAAAGACTATGATGGCAAAATATTATAGAAATCTGATGTCTAACATATCAGGAGAACACACCAGACTAAGGAAGGCTGACCTAAGTCATATTTAACATTTTAAATACTTTTCTGAAATGTAAAATAATATTTATCTAAATGAAACATGCATACATGCACATACATCATATAAATGATATGATGGCTTAAGTAGAGTGGCATTTCTTGTATCCATACTGCATTCTTAATAATTTTGCTACACAGTAAATTTATTAGGCAGAGGGACCATATTATTCATTTCCTTAGTTTTATATATTACATGAAATAATATATAAAATTATTATCTAAAAGATGAGGAAAATATTAGAGCAGTATAATAGTACCAAGTTTTAAAGTAGGATGTTTATGTGTTGCTGTTATACTGATCCCTATCTGCCTAGCTTTTTCATACTCTTTTTGTTTAATGATATGCATTTGATTTAGTATTATCTGAAGCATAATTAAATCTATGTGTCTGATTTTCAAACATTTCTGATATTTTGAGTATTAGAAGGCAAGCACAGTATTATCCACTAATCTATTATTAAAACAGAAGAATTTTTTCCCTTTAGGAAAACTGAAAGAATCACAAAGTTAATGATAATCAGAGGATATATCTTGCAATATTCTACTATTTTTCAATTCAAGAAAGCTTATTGTAATAATAGAAATGCATATGCATTTTATAGTCTGCTCTACAATCTTCCCAAGTATCAGTGACAGCCTGATGCCTATAGTTCCCGGCATCTTCCTTTTCCCTCTCTGTGAAGAGAAAGGCAATGTTTGCCGTCTTCCAGTTGTCTGGCACCTCACCCCTTCCTGGTTGAATACCTTTTGTTGAGTGGGGCAACAGAGTGCACATCTTTGCTTCATGAGTCGCATTCCTGCTTATCTGAGCCCAACACTGACTGGATGTCCCTTGAGGTTTGGCATTCTTTAGAAGAAACTAGTCTGAGGACCTGCCTTTGGAACACAAAGAGGTGATGGCAAGTGTGGAGGTAGATTCCCTCTGGGCATTATCACCATATGGGGATTTAGCAGGAGAACCTGGCCTGGAACATGTTCTAGCTTTCCCTTTATCCTCCTATATTTTTTGCTCTTCTGGCCATGGCAGCATTTGCTAATCTTGTCCTTCATCTTCCCCTGGTAGGATCAAGAGTAGTAGGAAGAAGAGGATGAAGATGAAGGAGTAAGGATAGGAATGGGGAAGAACTTAAATTACAGGCCCAGCAATAGCTTCTTCTCTTTATTTTGGAAATGTGTTTGGTCCCTTATTGTCTCCATAGTTTGACAGGAGTTTGCTTAGCAGATTGAGAAAATACCTTTGGGACTGCCCCCTCAGAGCTAAGAGGGAGGGAGAAGATCCTAATTTCTCCAGGGTGATAGGAGTAAATGGAAAACTGAGCTGAAGGCACCAGCCCTTTGAGGTAGGCCAGGTCCAGACACCGCAGGGATTTTAGGATGCTACTTTATTGTTGTAGGCTATAATAACAGAATCTTGAAAGCCTGCCAGAGTTTCTCTCTGTCCTATCTTATACTAAACAAAAGTAGGCAGGGTTATATTGAGTTTCTTTCTCATACTTCCTTTAATCTCCGGACTATGTAATATCTTTTCCAAGTCCTTCCTTTAAAGCTCCTTCCTTCCTTCTCCAAGGCCAGCTCTAAATTTTTTTACAGAAGGAGTGGCAGACCCATGCAGCAAAATGGCAGGTATGGTTTAATCAAAATGCACGCTTCCTGTGCATGTGCTTCCCCCCCCCCCCCCCCCCCC